ATTTAGCGCATTTGAGTGTAATTGAGCTATCTATGTCAATTACAATATGTTGCCCATAATATGCGCATATATAATATGTGAAATTGAGTTAACGGTACGTTCAAATTTCCACGAAACTTGTTTGTAACACAGTACTATGTCATCATAGTATCGTACTTTTCCAGGGGGTACTCACATTGAAGTGCTATATGACAGGGGCGGATTTAGATGGGAGCCGAGGGGGCTCGCGAACTAGGTCTTCGGCCAACTTATCCCCCCCCCCCCATTCCAGAATATCCTATCCTTTTTCATTATTTTTGTCGCATAAGGGGTCCATATTTTCAAAGAGTATCACTAGAGCTTGAGTGTTCCAACAATCAAGAGAATGAAGCTGATTTTTTCTTTCTGTAACTTCATTTCGATCGTCAAAGTCCATCCCCGGTTTTCTTTTTTAGTCACTCTTTGTTCATTCCTGTGCTTCTCGTGTGAATCATCATGAATCAGGCAGTGCGGCACTATCAACCCAGCAGTAAACCTTTAACATCACGACTATGTTTTTTCAAGTGCAAGTAGAAAGGACGGTTGATGGAACTAGCAGATCCCGTAGTTTCGGGTATGCACGACAATGTTCACTTCGGTTAGCTGATTGGGAAGACCTTAGACGAGATGTCAAAACATACAAGACATACATTTCGGCCTATGTTTTGGATGGCAAAAAAGCTGGCAAGAAACATTCTGAAGCCGAGAAGAAACAGAGGGCACTATTAATTTTATTTACTATGCAGCCTCGTTGGCACCACAGCAAGATTGCTAAAAGTTCACATCGAGTAATGTTTCGAGGGCAGAGAATTCAAAGAAACCATGAGCATCTTTCACGTGCCGTATTCGGACATAGGCGTTACGTGTCCTCCAACTTCAAAGATGTCGAACATTAAGTTAAGTAACTCTTTATGTAACTATTTTAACACTTATGCCGATCTTGATTGTTCGTTTTTTGTGAGGTAGCATCCTTAATGTATGGGGTGTTAATTGTCGCAGCAAAAAAAAAAAGTCAATCCTCTATGCATTGAGTTGTACGATGTGAGTGTTACAGTCACTCCACTATTTGACCGACTTACTATTTTAGTTTTGCGTCCCTTTGCCAGTGACTCTTGTGAGCAGGTTTAGAGTTGCGGTAATTTGTTTGTAAAGTGACAACCACTTGATCTAAAGTGCTGGACGTGTATACCGTTTAAGGCTACTTCTCCACGGTATGTATTTGCGTCAACCAAAATTGATAATTGTATCTGGGAGGGGA